TGGGCTAGAAGGCACCTGAGTCCCCTGCAGAGGGATTCACCCAGCTTAGAAGTGTTGAATCAGGCGAGGCCTCAGAGAGGATCTGACCCACCATTCTTGTTGCAAAGAAGAGGAAACTGACCACTCTTCATTCATGGAACTTTTACTGCACACCTACTATGTGATAAGTGCCATCTCTAAGCTCAGCAGGAGGCAGATGGGGTCAGATGAAGGGAAGGGCGCAGGTTGTGGCTGGCTCAACTGTGTGTCTGTTTACTTTAAGGGCACCCCTCTGTCCTTATTACGCCAACCCCGGGGATATTGTCGTTATTACTCTGCCTCCAGGGATGTTTTTCTTATTACATCCAGGGATATTGGCAAGGTCCTGTAATGGAGGGCATGGTGCCAGTGTCCTCCAGCTAGCTGTTCTCTGCACTGACTGGCACCTGACCCTGTACCTTTGATCCAGCTGGGCTTGTGCAGCTGGTGACCCACTGACCTCTGCCGTAGGCTCAAGGCTGATTCGTTGCTGGTAGAGGCGTAGGCATTATGTTTTGAAGCATGGGCCTGCCAGGCCAGAAACCCAGATAAGGGTGTGCAGCCCTGGATGGTGCATTTAGCAGAAAGGAGCACTGTGCTAGGAGCTGGGACCTGGGCTCTGGGTCTAGCCAGCCATTAACATGTGTTGAACTTGGTCAAGGCACAAACCATCTCTTTGTCTATACTACAAATGAAAAGGTTGGGCCACATGACCTCTATTTTGCCAACTCTCATCTTCTGGTCAGTGGTTCTTTGGCATGCATTGGAATTGCTGGGCGGGCTGGTTAAAACCCAGATGGCTGGAACCCCACCCCAGAGCTTCCAGTTCAGTGGGTCTGGAGTGAGGCCTATATTTCTACCAAGTCTTAGATGCTGCTGATGCTGCTGGTTCAGGAACCACACCTGGAGAACCACTGTTTTAGCAACTCTGACTCCACATTAGAATTACTTGGGGAGCTTTAAACAGTGTGGGTATCAGGGAGATTAAATCTCAGAGAAATGAAATCAGCATCTCTGAGTGGGATCCTGGGCTTTGTAATTGTTTAATACCTCCCCAGGCGATTCTTACGTTCTGCCAGGAATAGGAACCACTGTTCTAGAAAAGTGGCTGGAGATGTGACGGGATATTGGTTGGGCAAACACCTTATATCCCTTTGGAGAAATGTCTCTCAGATCCCAGCTCAGCCTCCCATTAGCTGCCAGGCTTGGCACAGTCTCCCCAAGTCTCAGTTTCCCCTCTGTAAGTGGGGTCGTTAGAACTAAATCAAATTCTGCCTCACTGTGCCTGCCCACCCCTGCCTTCCTCTTGTCTCCAAGGAGAACTTGTGCATTTCTTCTGCCCTGAGGCTGTTCAGCTGAGCAGAATTCAATAAGCATTTATTAAAAACTCACCATGTGCGAGATGCTGCCCTTAGTGATGTGGGAATACAAAGCTGAATCAGGCTGGTCCTCACTCCAAGGAGCTCACATGCTAATGGGAGTGACAGGCATGTGTCCTAAACGTGAGGCTGGATGTAACACAGGCCATTAAGGAAGTAACCATGATGAAGGCCACTGTATGCAAAGCCCCCAGCTTGAGGTACTTTACAGTATATTTTAATCCAACAACCCACAAGAGAGCTGCTATTATAACACCCACTTTACAGGTGAACAAACTGAGGTTTAAAGGGATGGTCAGTTACTCAGGTTTTGTTGCCAAGGGAGCCCAGAGGAGGATGAGATTCACACCATTGTGGGTAGAGGTGTGGACATTACGCTTTGAAGGATGGGTAGGAGTTCAATGGGTAAAGACAGAGAAAAAGGTATCCTAGATAGAGGGATCAGCATACACAAAGACCTGGAGGAGAGAGATCCCAGCTGCTTTAATGACCCGGAAGGGGTTTGATTTGGCTAAAGTGCAGGCTGATGGTGGTACATGGTGAGAATCAGATCCCAGTTGGAGGCCTTTTATACTGAGCTAAGGAATTTAGATTTATATCTTAAGCAATGGGCAGCCATTGAAAATTCTTGAGCAGGAGGTGATATTTTTAGAAAATGATTGAAGTGGTCATGGGTTATGGGAGAGGGGGGTGACAGGGAACCCAGTGAGGAAGGAGGTAGTTATGACCAATGGTCCCTGTGAGATGGTGAGGCAAACGGGGGGAGGATAGGGAAGTGGGCACACACGGAAGGTGCGCTGTTGCCACGTGAAGCTTCTTTGGGCATCGATCCCTTATGAGCACCTGCTTATTGACCAAGCCATTCTGCACTGGGTGGGGAGGGAAAGGGGTAGCAACAAGGGCAAGGTGGGTCTCCCAGGGCCCCGCAGCTCCACACACAGCACCCTCAATATGAGGATATGGTAAGTAGAGCGTGACCCACTCAGGGTGAAGAACTCGGCTGAAGCAGTAGGTAATGGGTTCCTGGGCGGGCTCAGACCTGGCCACCTGCCACGTTACCAGGTGGGGGTGAGGGAATTGGCCCAGTGGCCTGAGTCCTCCTGACCCCAGCCTTCCAGGTGAAGCGTGCCACCCTGCCTGCCTCCCACTGCCAAGTTCACTGCCAGCTCAAGGTTTGTAACCTCTTTGCGTCAAGCTGAGCACCAACCCTCCTGGTCTGAAACCAGTTCCTAGAAGCAAAGTCTGGATGTGGAAAGAGCACAGGGCTGGGATCCTGCCACTTGCTGGCTGAGTGACCTTGGGAACATGCATCTTAGCCCCTCTGAGGCCTAAATGTCACTTCCTCCAGTTAGGAGATAAACACAAAAAGGGCAAGTGCTATGCTCTCCAACTAGTCCTTCCCCCTCCACCTGCCCCATCTTCTCTGGTTAACGTCCCTGGAGAATCTCAAGACTGCACAGGGACAAGAGGAGCAAGCCACTTTTTATAATCAAAGTCTAAGACCAGGTAAGTACTTTTGTCACTTGGTGGACCTAGCATATCATACCCATTTTATAGATGACACAACCAAGGCCCAGAGAATTTCCATGACTGGCCCAGGGCCAAATATTTGAGAGGTTACAGAGGGAGGCTTGAATGCCAATCTCTCATTTAACAGAGCTGGTCCTTCAGTTTGCTGCCCGCAGATCCCCACTGTTTATCAAGAGGTGAGATGATAAATCCGTTGGTGGGAGGAGGGTTGGCAGACATCCTCCAACTCTAGGGTTCTGGAAATGAGGGATTTCCCTGGCTGATACAAAATATGGGTTGACAGGCACAGTATTATGCCCCTTCACTGCATCAGGGGGAGAACATTCTCTTTTCAGCCTGCAGATAGCACGATGGAGAAGTCTATTGGATGCTAACGGGTCTTTAACACCTCTCCAACCCTGGTCGATCCCCCCTTTTCACAGAGGGCACATCTCAAGCCTTGGCAGACCAGTTTCCAACTTGAACTTAATAACCTTGGTTTGTTTTCATTGTGCTCATTTTTACTCTTACCTTCTATTTATGGCAATAGATACTGGTTTCTCATTTAAGGCAGTGATATAACGATTCTCTAAAAAAACGTGTTTAAGAAAGAAAACCTGGGTCTTGGATTTAAAGAAAATACTAATAAATGGTGTCTAGATTTGGCACAACGAGAATGACGTCTGCCACAGTCCAAGGTGGGGAGAATGGAGGTGAGAGAGGCGCTGTCCCAGGGCGCCCGGTACGTCCCGGCAGGGCTCCCTCTACAGTGCTCGCCCAGACCTGCACTCCCAGCAGACCTAGACCAAGGCGAGTCCACGGCCCCTTCTGGCGGCACGTGCGCGACCCATGTGCCATCCCATAGGGTCCCGCGGACCCGAGACCTCGGAGGCGGCAGCTAAAGGCGTGTGGTTTCCACGATGGAGGAGGGCGCGGGAGCCCTGGCCAGCGGGCTGCAGCTCGACCCAGCGCAAGCAGCTGGGGACCCCGGCCAGCTGGCAGAGGGACCCTCGCAAGTCACCTGAGGCCGAGGCCGTGTGCATGTGAGTGCGAGCGCAGACGTCAGCCTCCGGGGCCCGTGCCGCCTTCCGGTCACGGAGCGCGTCCCCGGCCACCCCCAGCGGTCCCGGCCCCACG